CATGTGGCATGTTGGGTCCTGAGAAGGCCTCGACTTCTGTCCCTTCCAGCCTTTAGTCAAATTTCATGCTCGACGATGACGCGTAGACTTGACCCGTTCGAGTCTAGGTTCACTTACATGCTGTAACGAACAATGTGTGGATTTCGGACCGAATTTAAACTGTCTGCCTTGCATTTTGGATGTAGCCTGCGGAATTCGTTTGCCAGTACAGTCTTGTGCTGTGAACGTTTATCGCCTGCAGACTTTGGAGTGATCAAGTTCACACCTTTCTTAGCATGATATGCTGATAGAACCAAAACCTTGCAACATTCCTCTGTTGTCTTCCCAGTCCTTCCCCATTTGCCGATAAGACCTCTCCATGTGGCTGCTGAGAAATAACTGCCCGAAAAGTATTGTGAGTGCTAGAGTCCTCTTCATTGAGTCGTACGAAGAAACCCATCTAATGAAGCGCTTACAATAATACTCGGAGCTCTTAGCTCATTTTCTCACTCAGTCACCATTTCTCTTGTAAGTCATCAACAACCTACGGGGGATGACCGAATGTCCATTCACACTCATGTTAATTCTCCTAAAACATTCCACGACTGAGTCCGTTTGAGTAATCAACCCGGAGCATCCAAACGCAACTTCGTGGCATTATCCACCGGACCACCTGACTGTTGATCCCAGATTATCAACGGGATTTTTGGATAAAAAATGTTCTCTTGTAGTCAATAACCGAATTTCATTTGTGAAATTGCCTATCGTTTATCAGCTTCCGTCAATGCCTTGTATGTTCTCCGGTTCGAAGTTTCAATGACGAAATTTGTTTCCTCTGTCAAAGAACTCAATTCAGTGGTTTTTCTCTATATACAATGGCAGACAGGGGATAAACCTCCTTGTGTATGTTTTGACACTAACTAGTATGTGAATATGCCACGTTGACTTAAAGCTGCGAACAAACAGTCTGAACAATCTAACCATCACATGAGGACTAATGGCCAAATCGATGCGCCAATTAATGTGAGGATAAGCTAGAAACTTACTGATTAATTACTAACGATACAGTACCAGCGAAATACACTCGTCTGCATACCAATTTGGTTTTGAGGGGAGACTCCCCCGGGAACCCAGCCGAATCTCTCGTTTATGATGCTTTTAAACGAAACTGGTCGTGGGCTGTAGAAGAGTTTTCAGCAACCTTCTTCATTACTTCAATACGGCACCAGCTTCGAATCCGTGCCATTTGTTCAGCTGAGTTAATTAGTTTTGAACGCCCTCAACTCGCCCTATATCTCACAACGTTGGAAATTGACGTATGACATTTGGGATTTCCGGTATTTTTCGAACAGGTGCTCAGGGTTCCGGTATGTTTTCGGGAACGGACTTGCGAATTCCCTAGGGTATTGGAGGGGGCCTTCACAGAGCTGTTTTTAGTGGATGTCTATTTGAAAGCGATTGTTTCCACACCGAAAACGCATTGTAATTTTTCTACCGCTTCATCGATTAGAAACAAGTGCATATAGTTGTGCTCTTGTGGGGCCAAATTCTGCATTTAAATTCTGAAATGACTTTTGGAATGCAGCGAATTGTAAGCGAAGTGTTAAAAACACCATTTTCAAAAACAGTGTGAACCCCTGGGCCATATCTCTCCCTCTGTAATAATTTCACAGACGATATTGTTCGCTAATTTCCCTAACCAGTATATCTATCGGAGGTGAATATATTCAATGAATAATTTACCGAGTTGGGTAGAGGGCCGATTTCTCTTCTCATTGTTCGCTGACAGAAAGAAGACCATCCGGTTTGGGAAAATATTTGTGTAGGGGTTGTCGAATGAGGACATCCAAAAGCAAACTATTTTGACCCGAAACTGCGGTAAGCTATCAAGGAAGTAGAGATATTACCCATCTGATGTGACTGAGGGAACATCTTGGTATTCTGAGGGGTCAGGACAAAATCAACTTTCTCCATGTGGCTAAGGCGCGAACTTACTGACCGGAAGGTCCGTGATTCGAACCCGACCTCTGTATATCAACTGCTCCTGTCCAGATTTGGACAACCTGGCAGTATCCCGGCCCTCGTGCTTTTTTCGTTCGCGCGGCCCTCGTGCTTTTTTCGCGTGGTATGGCGTCTAGGCACCGAAAGCGTGCTTCAACTAAACCGCTATATATATATATATATATATATATATTCGATTTAGCAAAGTATCAGTTCGTTCAATCCAATATGTGCGTCCATGTGAAGGCATCCATCACGACAGTCGCGACCAATTGCAACATTCAACATTGTTGCGTCGATCATGCAGTCAAGAACACTCCATGGCGTACTAGTTTCCTTGCTACTTTTCTCCTGTCATTTCACATACTTTGTCCAAGTTACCGCGAAGGGTCAAAGTTGACAGTCTTACCACTACCACTGATAGTATGAATTCTTTGGCCAGCATCGCTTGTCTAATCAGCATTTTTAGTTTAGCCTATCGTTCCACTACCTGTTGGTTGGAACTGAACGCATGTTTGGTACAAACTAGTACAACTCTGAGACAAGAGCGTAAGCATGATGTGGATATTATGAATACGACATCAATAACTAATGTGGATTTTAAAATGCAGCGTGCTTCAAACACCAAATAAAATGGAATCGCAGCTTTTGGTCTTCGTTCGCTTCTTGAACCAACAATATAAATTATTGGACGGTTTGTCGAAAAAAACATTTTGTGCTTGCAAGCATCGGTCTTGGTAGTGGCCTTACTGCGTTAACACATGCGGTTTGATTACTTTCATTCTTTGTTGCTTGAATCTAGGTTACTTTAATGAATGTAAATTATCGTCTGTATCACATGCCAGTTTTTTTTCGCGGATACTTTTTTTAACTTTCTTGGGCCGCCATAACCCGTTTCCTCCTCTTCGTCGGGTTGCTTCCGGATGGATCCTTACGGCTGTACCACAGCCGTCTCGCCTTCGATCACTCGATAGCACAGGGTGCTTGAACCACGTCATTTCATGGCTGTCAGTTAGCTATCTGGTGCAGTCTGTTTTTTTCTTATTTTCGAATTTACGCTCCACCAATCTACCGGAGGCCACCCGCTGGCGTGCGGTACAGACAGTTTCCACCGTCTTCCATGCTTCCAACTCTATCGACCGATCAGATGATGTCTACCTGTCTACGATTATTAACGTTTCATCGGTTCAGTTTTTTCGTCATTTTCCACTAACTAGGCTTTATTTTTCCTGCCTTTCCGGTTGCCTACGCAGTTCCACACTGATCTCTTCAACCTTACTTTATTACCTGTGTATTGGTATCATCAGCCCGCATCCCACACATCTGGATAGTCTTTTTTCAGACCAAAATTAACAGAGTCTACCGTCTTGTTCCTCCGAGAGAGCGGCATTTATTCGGTTCATAGGGCTCATGAGTTTTGAGAAATTTTCCACTAGAATAAACCGTAACTAAGTTCGCAACCGTTACTTCTAGACTAAGCTCTACGGGTTGGTTTGGGTCAGTGGCAAGAATCTGTGACACAGCTTATGAGCCTCCTCATGCGTGTTGAAGTGTAACCTAACCTGTCACGCTTAGTGGTTCAGATCAAATTTGGGTTTCACCGCGATTAAACGGGACTGAACTGGACACTGAAGCAAACACAAGGAATAGAGTAGTGTGTGCCAGACACGTCGAAGATTATATCGCACAGGCAATCATTTGGGTAAAATTAATCATGACTGAGGCGGCTTCCATTTGCCTTTACAATTCCACTCTGTGTAGGTGAAATCATTTTGTCCAAGGTCTGTAGTTAGCCTGGTCGAACCATGATCTGTTCAAATTCCTTGTCTAATCCCTGATGACCCAAGTTCAACCACGCGACGTTTATCAAGTTGACCTGGCATCACTGACCTTTGTTATGAATATCACTTGCGATTTGATCGTAGCATAGGCATAATAAGCCATGCACGGTGCTCTGAGCTTGTCCTATTGGCAATGCAGTCCGCTAGTCTACTGGAAGCGGTGTGCATCGAGTTTGGCTGTTTAATTTTGCTCATCTGAGCCGGCGGATGACTTAGGTTTTTGGGTGTACCGCACGTTCGATGGTTTCACTAATGGCTTTCAGTTATTGTTGCACAGATCAAAGCAAAATAATCGTCGTGTCGGTTCGACTTATTGTTGATACAGGCCCTCTGCCAGTCCGAAGTGGACATCACTGGTTCAGCTATCTGGTGGTTCTCAGTTGGGTCTACAATGAACCCACCGAGCACTCAGAAATATTGAGTCTGCATCGCTTTAACGGTGATTGTGTGTGGCCACCACTGTGCAAAGCAGCCTGATTTTTAGCTGATTCCAGGTCATGCGTCGTATGAGCAGTACGTGCCACTCTTCCTGTACACGGGGCTACAACCCCTTAGCTAACTGCACTTGACTTGACAATTATGAATCATGATCGTCATCTTTTGGACTTACTGTTTGTTCTAGAGCTCCCATATTCTCTTCATTGTCTATCTAACTCATTCTTTCGGGTTACACAAGATTGCAGGGCATCCAGCTGGTTTCATAACACAATTTTTCGTGGCATGTCCCTTTCTGTGCTGTTGTCGATCGGCATAGTTCAGTGCAACAGGCAGATTAAGGCATGGATGTGAGTTTATTTATCCCCTCCTTTCTCTTTATCACTTGGCTGCTGGCCTATTCGGTGTAGCTCGATGGTTTGCACACAGTTTTGTATGTATGATGTATGCTAGTGTATGTACAAGTAGTTGGCAATTTGTCCGAAATACATGTTTGAAAACATCATTTTGATAGTTTCAACCCCAGTCCGTTGTTGTGTTTACCACCCTACATGCTATGGGATTTTCGTGTGATGCACATTTCTATTGGTTTATGGTCTCATCAACAAAAGCGCCATCCCTGTTTACGGTCCCTTCCCCAAACTCGTTTATTATTGTTATTGCTTTCGTTGTACATACCATTGTCAGAATGTCTGTTTATGCTTTGCCTCATTGTTACTATGTGTCTCATGTATTAGATTGTTTTGGAATTCGTCATAGTGTGTTGTCTGTTTGAAACAAAAGCATACTGAGGTGTACGCGTTTATGGATAGTTTGCAACGAAAACAGATTTGCTGTTCATAATGAGTTGTACCACTGGAATCCACGTAGTTTGTACTTATTCGTATAAAACTGTTTTACACATAAGCCCAAGAAACCATATCAGGCGGACATGCAGCCAGTATCCCGTTAAGCAGTACCGATGGGCCAAAGGGGTTGGTGGGACAGCTGTCAGCAAGCCATCGACCGTACCTCTAGGGGTTCTTTGAAGCAAGATGTCACTGCAGTATTTTCATCGTACGATCATCAGCTAGATCGGGAATTTTGTGGAGTTATCCTCGCTTTCTTGTTTCGCAAGTTGTCGAGGTAAAAAGACAACAGATTTCAGTTGAAACCAGAGCTGGACCTAGGTAAAATAGACGTTACTTTTTAAGCCAACATCTCTCACTCCATGCACTTCTTCAAACATATGGATAAGAATGACCCTGTCGACGTTACCAAACCAACACTCATCCATGTTTCTTCGTGGTAAGGTGAATCAACCGGGTATCTCACACTTAAAAAAGAGAGGTACTCACAATCGATATTTATTAAAGAATATGTCCTAAATCCCACTGGAAAAACCTTGAGGCGTCCTAAAGACGAGAAAATACACTACCATGTACATTCCTGTCTCCTACATTTTTGATTTGAGCATGTGCACACCAACAGGTCGATTGCGACGTTCCTTATGACGTCTGAACCAGATTCATTGCCTTCTTTAAGACTCTAGGTGGTCAAGACTACTGATTTTGGAGGAAGATCAAGCATTTGATGAAGGCTTCATTTAAAGACACAAGGACTAGAACCGATGCCAACGGAAGAAGGCACAAGTGTTGAGATACTGCTAGGTTACCCAAGTCTGGTTCAGTCGAGATGAAGAGATAGGGTTCGAATTACGGTCCGTAAGCTGGTGCTTTAACCACTGAGCTCATTCGAACAAACATTTGATGGATAGTTTGTCAGCTATACCTGTGCATAACTTTCATGGACCAGTGCAACCTTCTTCTCATGAACGTTACCATTTTTTTCCTTTCATGTGGTCCTAATAATATCAATGCACGCCGTGGTTCGCCCCCGTTTTATCGATATTTCGGAACCTCGACCTCTAAGTAGGAGTTTTTGACACTAATATGCACTAACTCCTGTTCTTGTGGGATTTATTCGTAAACATGAATGTTGTAATTTGATTTCCGCCGTTATGGACTAACTCACTTGATGCATCGTTTTACAATCCGCGTTTTTTCTGCGACAGTTCGTGAAGAAAGTTCCATCAAGCATTACCGAATCCGATCCCGTTCCTCTCGAACGAATCCCGAATTACAACGGTTCTACATTTCCCGACAACTCCCGTTCGTTAATATTCAACAACTGGTCAGCTACTATATGGAAAACCAATCAGGGCTGTGCTGTCGTCTCCGTCGACCGTGTATTAAAGTGAGTTGTTTGTTCTCCGTGCGTTGTCCATTTTGCTTGTCATTTGTGTTCTGCCCTCATCTTTCCGTTGAGTAATTTAAGTGCAGCCCCTATAGATTTCATTATTCAGCTGTTTACCTTTGCGGAAGCAACTACCATCCCTCAAGGCGACCGTTGGTGAGGTCATGGTCACACTGAATATTCTGTAAGATCACCACGACTCCGGTGAGCACTGGGTAACAGAGGGAACGGGCACCACCTCGGATTGTGCCAGGCACCGATTCGGGACCTTGTCTTGCTCGTGCTCACGTTCCGATCCAAGTCTAGCTGTCCAATTGATAGGTTGAGCGCTGCTTCTACTTAGAGCTGATATTCAACAGAGCTTCTTTGCCCGTTTCTCACTTTTTGGACCCCGAACCCTATTGTCACGGCACAAGGTGTGTCCAAGTGCAACTGTGTCCACGATAACTTGTTCCTTCTGAGTAAGAAGTGAGAAATCTGGGTTGTTTCGCTCAGTTTTTCGCCTTATCAGATTTTTTGGATGTTGTGTCCCACTGTTCTGGGCTTGCACTCATTACCACGCATCATGTCTTGTGCAGCGCTTTCTCCTTGTCATACGAATCTGGATTCTCCTAATTTTAACACATGCACACAGCGAAAATGGGGTTATACGGACCAGCAAAAAGCGTGGTCTGGACTAACTAGTGGACACTACAGACAAAACTTTCACTTAATTATTTTTATCTGCATCACCTATCAATAACTTTTCACGGAATTTTTGTGGCAAACAATACAGAAGGTTAGATGTTCCGGGAATTGAATGGTTCGATGATTCGGTCCCACTTGTAACTCATTGGAAATGAAGAATGTCGTTCAGTAAGTCATGATTGATGAAATAAGTTGAAGCAATCTGGAAAATTATCTCCCGTTCCAAGTCTTCTCAGTTCTCGACTCCCGTTTTTTTGGAGCAACGGAACAATGGCTTATGTTTTACAGAAATTTTTCCGAGTTGGCCAGTGGATTGTGAGGGTGGTTTACGCACGTGGTAGTCAGCTAATTGTGGGTACTTTCAATGTCAGTACAAGGTTCTCATTGACCGTGAAGTACAGCACTTGACTCAGGGCTTGTTTTCCCTTGTAAACATGCTGGTTGATGTAAGGTTATTCAGTTCATCACCTGCAAGGCCTATCTGTAGTCCAACACTCTCGAGCTGAGTTGGCTGAAGTGCTTCCAGAACTCATTGGGCACAATGTTGCTGATGATGATTTTAATAACGACCGGAAAAGATTACAGAAGTCATGCCCGCAGCTCGCACGCCCCAGTGCTTTTTATCAGAGAAACTATACCAGCAACAAACGACTGTAACAGCACGCGCATATCCCTCAACTGTTGAACACTGAAGATCCTGCGGATTGACAGATGGCTTTGATGGATAACGGATGACTAAAGCATGAAGAAGGCTTTTGAAACAGAAAAAAACAAAAACCATCGCACCCTGTTCTAGCTAATTCGGTCAACCGATTAGAGGAGGGTGATTGCTAGTCACACCACGTGTCCCAGAGTGTCAAACGCTGCGAAGAGCACTTCAGCTGTGTTGGAGATAACAATCCCAAAAAACGTCTATTTATCGAGTTATTGCCAGATTTATTTTCTGAAAATTTGAACCTTTAAGTTTCGCGCCTTTTCGTCATGTTGCGCATTATTCCAAAAGGACCGCGCTTCCTTCCTATTGGCCTTTTGTGCTTTGTATTGTAACAAATGTACTATTTCCCAAGTCGCTCAAAATATATACATTGAACGATGCTCCCGCTGTGCTTTGTTTTTGGTTGAGGCAGTAAAACCTCTCCTCCGAAGGTCCGGTCTTTTCTCTGCGCTAAGGGTGGTCGGGCTCGTGTCATAGCTGGGGATCTGTGCGCTCGTTCTCAAGTTGCGTATAGTCATTGATCGCATCCGTTTAAAAATGCGACAAGCTGACACCCTTCAGAAGAACCATTTGAACCCGAACTGAACGTTGATACTGATAACGGAAATCCGTCGTGCAGTTTCATTGCTTCAGCGCAAAGAAACATTTGGTTTAGACGGCTTCCATTCCGTACTCTCCAAATTTATTTATTTGTTGTGATTAACCTGGTGACCTGACTCCAGAATATCTTGAATGGAGACGATGGCGAAGGTGTTTAGCATCTCGACGGTAATTTCCATATTCAAATAGGGTGCAAGAACGTCATGGGAAAATCACCAGCGTAACAGTCTGGTAGCCATAGCTTTGAATATGCACTGTGATATTATTTCACGCAGGTTGGTTCATCGTTGTGAGTCAGATTTGCGAGAATCAAGCTAGGTTTTTCCTCTGGCCGCGATCGCAGCGATCACATTTTCACTGTGACGCATGCTGGAACTGCGTCACTCCTTCAGGTAACTAACAACAGCCGTTTTTGTCGTTATGCAGGTTGTTTTTGATTCCGTTAGTCGTCAGAAATTTTGGCAGTCTTGAAACGAAAGGCATTCCTTACAAACCCTCGTCTGTTATTACGGCTCTGTATGCCTCTTCCCGTGCAAATTCTCTCCTGAGCTCACTACGTTCAATGTTGTTACCTAAAGGTGCCGTCTGCTGCTCTTCCTTTTCACTTTCCCACCCGATGTGCTGATGAGTCTTCTATACCTACCCCCTGGAGGTTGCTCACAGACATAGTGACTATATAGCTCTCCTTGGATCACACCCTTTAGACATGTAAGCCATTTCAAAATATCGTCGTCATCATTCTCAACAACATAACATCGGTGTTCAGCACTAGTGCTTCGCTGCCGTACAACCATTCAAATAGCCTAAGTAATTCTGCTGCGCAGTTCGATATGCTCTTGACGCCAGTAAAGTGTAAAGTGCTACTGCAGGATTGGATGAGCCGAAACCCGAACCTCATGCCTGCGGGTGAACAGATCGATGTGATGTGTAGGTTTATCTATCTGGTCAGCTTTCGAACCAAAGATTTTGGTTAATAGCCCTAATTGCCCTCTTGTCCATGTTTGAAAGCCCCGAAAGAATATCGGTTCACACGTTACCCTGAAATATGCGAACAAATGTATCCTTGTGCTCTCGAGGTGGCCTGGCCCACTCGTTTTCTACATACGCTTGGATAGTTAGGTGGGTATTCTCCATCCTTCTAGATACTTATCTGTTAACCCCCTACTGCCTCACTTAATTATTCTTCTGTGATTCTCAGCTGTGGTGCCTTACGCAAACACCCATGAAAATGACTACGCGCTCATATCTGCCGCTGTTCAGATATTGTTATCCTGTTCTCCAATCTTTCAACGAACATGCTCTTAAGCAGATAGGCATTTTAGCAGATTGAGATACCTTATCGATTGCATGTGCTGCATTTCTGAAATTCGTATACCATATCCAACTACATTAACTGAGATCATGACAACTACTCTGTCCAGACGCGATCGACTGTCAACTTGTGTTGCACCAGGTTACGCCGGTGTTCGTACAGCCCGAGACTTCTTCATCTGTAAAAAGGTGACCCTAAGATGTAAGACTGTCCACTTTCAGGAGAACTAGCACCCGTCGAAGTACTAATTGCCTCTTATTTATTATAAACCTATCCTCCAACCTACAGTACCTCTGATCCAGCGAACGACACTTTCTGCCCAGAAATTAACTTACAACCCCAAGCAGATGGAAATCAGAAGTGAGTCGTCTACATCCTTCGAGAAATCGTCTGAGGCTACTCGTACATCTAACCACCATTTTGTCCATAATGAGCAGTTGAGATAAAATCTTCGATTTTGATGGAAAAGTAAAGCCTCTAATGTCATTGAAGGCTGCTTCCTAAGCCGTCTGCTACTCCTAAGTCTATCATGCATTACCGAACAAAAGATCGATAAATCTGACAGGCCTCTTTTCAGCAACTAATCAGGTTCGATTCGAAGGACCGATCTTTAATCCAAAAAGGCTATTTCCGTTTTTCCAGTGTTTATCTGAACTGATTTCCTGTCTACTTCGATAGTGCAGCATTAACGATCGCGTTGTTTTTTGGACACCACCACCTAGCAACCACTACATGTGTAAGGTCACACTTGACCAGCCCCTTCTAAAGTAGACCACACGACTAGATGGAATGCAAGATCTTCAGTGACCTGCTAACGAAGTTTCTAACGCAGACTGCATGGTGCCGTTTCTCGCAGACTTCCCTGAGGCACTCTTTGAAAAAATTCAACTGACCAGTAGTTCATTTTTCGGTCCTACCATTTGTCATTTATCTCTAGTGTAATCACAAACTAGCCTTCCAGCTCTTGGAATTTGCGGGCGAAGTCTTTTGCACTTGCTTCTTTCTGGGTGATGGAGTTGGTTTTAAAACACTGATTAGTTTGCTTTGGTGTCTACTCGGTAAAAAATGGTAGCGTTTTAGATTGGTTAGGGTAATTTTTATCACAGAATAAGGGATAGAAACCGCAAGACCAGTGAAACAAGAAAGCCAAGGGCGGCCATCCAGGCTGGTGCAGATTTACGGTTGAACGAGTTGCTCGCTTGCATCGGTATTGCCAGGTGTCCAGCACCGATGACCTGCCGGTTAATGAGGTTGTTATGCCTGTCCAAACGGATTACTCGTGTCGCGGTTGTTACGATTGACACAATCGACGTGTACTAGATGCAACAGCGCACGTTAGTTGTTTGAGCGGACTAATCTGTTGTTGCAGTACTTGCCGCATGAAGTCTATTTGATGCGCTTCAGCTAGAGCGTGTAACGTGGTCGAGTCCCGTCAAATCCACCGTAGTTGCTGAGCATTCATGATGGCTCAGTGCTTGCTTTTCGTGTCTATTTAGATGTCCACTGAGTTACATCGGTTAGTTTGAACATTTAGGGTTATCAACTTGGTTTGTGCATTCTTTCACTGGAATGCTACGTTGACTGTTTACTATATGTCTTTGTAGTCTTGTTCACCGTATTATAATCATACAGTGCTTCAAGACCACCGTAGGGTAACCGAGCGATTGGAACTGAAGCTCGTGCGGATTGCTGGTAGCTTATTTCAGGAAGCGTACCGTTTCGGATAACCGCTATTATAAACACGCTAGTTCTTGTGCACGTGGGTTCCCGTTGGAATAAATGTTCAGCGCACGTGGATAAACGCATTGCAAGCCCTCGTTTGACTCAGACTGTGGATAACAAGCTGAATTAGTTAGCTTCCTGTAAGCAGTTGTGTCAGGGATGTTTGATTAGACAGAAATCCCAGTCTCCGAAGATGAGCCTCCCAACTGGCGTCCTTCATTCCATAATAAGTGCGATGTTTACATATATAGTTGCAATGCGCAGCGATTCGTCGTTGTGATGTTTGTTGATTGGCATAACAAACCCATTATTTCGGAGTATGGAAAAGTCTTGTAAGTAAGGTGACTTCAGGTATTGAGAGAACAGTGCCTGTGATAGTTGGAGTGACTCCGTTTTAGCATTATTATATGTAAAGTTGGCGCCTAAGCGTCAAAGGTATGTTTCGTAGAGATAAATCAGGACCTCGGTTTTTTTTTGCGGGATAGTCGAGTTTTGATGCTTAGTGTACTGCCAGTATGTGAAAGTACGGCCAACATTCTTTTCTGAGTGCACTGTGGTACGTCAGTGCTCTCAGTCGGTTTTAACATATTCTACGTATTCGTCATCTTGAGATGCTCACTTGGTACGAAGGGAACGATTTGATCGACTTGCTAGGACCAGCCTCATTCATTCCTCTGCATCTCGATTTCCCCTAGCTAGGCTTGGGCAACCTGGCATTATCCCAGCCCCCGTGCTTCCTTCGGGTGGCATAGCACCTAGGTACCGAAAAGGTGTTACGGCTGAACGATTTATTTTTTGTACCCTATTTCTATTCAACTGATAATTTCCCCCACCCAATAAGTTTAATAAATGCCTGCACTCATTATTGTGGTTGACGTACCATCCGCAACGCACTCATGATGCCACCTTGGCCTGTGGTGAGACGTTTGTAACCAAACTGTCCGCTTCGGCGGATAAATCAGCGGCGATCGATACCACCCAAGCTTCCAACGTTCTTTGTAAATGAATACTATTTTGTGTGTATATTTTCGCGCAGGACCCAACGGCAGTACTAGGTGGGACGCGCTTTTCCCAGCAGTTGTCTGTCACCGTTAGCAACCAGCCTATTTACAAAAACGCTGTTTTGCATCTGCTTGTTGCTCTTGTCATACACGGATTTTCAGAAGTCCTTTGATGCCTGCCAACGATAAATTAATCAGAGTTTGACCAGGTCTACTGTGTCGGTGACTGACGGCCCATACGTACGACTGTGCGCTGACCACACCCAAAGTGAAATTACACTTTTTTTAGAGATGCGGTACTTTCCCTTGTATACACCAGCACAAAGATCTCACGTTCGTCAAGCATAAACGTATTAATCATTGACATCCTGCAATATAATTGTGATACCGTTAGAGTCTTCCCAATAGAATTAGTCTATTTGTCATTTTTAAATACAGAGTTATAAAAACGAAAAGATGGGATCACTTTTCGAATTGTGCTTTTTAATTGTACACTCGTCCCTAACGCAAAGGCCTTTGGATAACCGGATCTCAAGCACACTCAAAGGCCGGTAGTTTTGATACAACCGGACCGAAGCAGGGAAAAGGACGAGATTTGTTTGGTGGAAATGATTCATCAGTATCCACCTTCACTTGCACTTGACGTTCGTTAGAACGGTCCAAAACCCGATAAATATAGCAGTCCGAAAGCAACACAGCAACGCCAGGAACAGCTTTCCGAAAAATCCACGTAAAACAACACCAAGGAACCATCCAGAGATGTTGGTTTGAAACAGACTGCTCATTTGCTTCATAGCACAATAAAGACTTGGCTAACTTACCCACTGCATACCTGCATCAGCCCTCTGGAAAGAGGATAAGAATTAGGGTTGGACGGCTCACTTGGGGAATTGTACAGGCTGACAGGACTGACACCAGGGCACTTGCTTCATCTGCTATGGAAGATATTCCGTATGGTTTCAGTGGTACAACGATAATGATTCTGTGCAGGAGGAAAGGAAGTCGATAGGAGGCAGACGACTGCCGTAGAATCAGTCTTTTATCGACAACAAGCAAGATTATTGCTCGTATCGTGCACAATCAATATCCTGAAGAACAGCGTAGATTTGGAAGCAGCTGAAATACGATTTACTTGGTCCTTATAACTAGATAAATCCAGTAGATGTGTCGTGAACAGAGCCAACCACTGTATGGACTGTTTGTGGACTTCATCAAATCCTTCGATTCAGTCAACAGTGTGGATCGTCGAAAGAAAACTTGGCTGTTTGGGCAGAGTTGTCAACCTCATCAAAGCCTTCCTCACTAGGATGGAATCCTGGTTAGAGGCCTGCCGTACGAGTTCGAGATTGACATCGGATTGTTTCTGTAACAAGGCACCGTGGTGAGACGTTCCGTCAATGAGGGGTACCAATTTGGTACCGGTTGGATAGTTATTTAGTCTTTTCACTGCGTTTCCTGTCCACAACACTACTGCGCGATCCCATGTCCATTTGCTACTATGTGATCTGCTTTCACCTTCTAGAATGGGAACCAAGTATTCAGCTGAATGCGAGATGGTGTGCTTTACAGATTTTCGCTGTTCGGTAGCGAGATGTGGCTGTAATGGGAAACACGGTATTTGGCTGCCTGGAATATACATTGCTTGCACATAGTTATCAAGAGTGCAATGTGTCGAGTTGTTGTGTAGTCCTCACCACTGTCACAGCGAAACCTGGACGTTATGCAGACGATATGTTCGGATTCTTGCCCGATTTTATTTTTCATTGTCTATTCAAATTCCTTCGGAGTAAATGGAATGACTGAATCCCCAACACCGAAATCCTTCGCAGAGAAAACGCCAGCTCCGCTAGTTGGGCGTTTGTAAATGAATAACTTTTCAATATCAGTTCGAAATCTGCGACGCCCGAAATTCCACCTTGGAACATCCTGCATGTTAGCGTGAAAAACTCCAACTCCCATCTCAGATTACGAAGAAACCTGATACTCGACGGAGAGGCTTGGAGAAAGGCACTCCAAACAAAAGTGAGAATCTCTAACGCGCGACGAGTCGTAGTTCTGCAAAACAAGCTGGCTATTCCGTACGACCTCAACCTCCCTGGTTCGGCGATGTGGTTCACCTGAGGACATTTTCATGCATGACAGATTTATTGAATGCTTACTGGAATCTGTGTTTCATACCAATTCATAATGCAAATGAGTTACGAGCGCAAGTAGCAGCGATTTGCTTCACCACGGCACTCTTCCCGTGTTGAGGTCTCTTGCCTTTGTATCATCCCCCTTTGACTTCTGGACCCCAACAAATTTAACTGCATAGTCTGATTCGAACTCTTCTGGCTTTACCCTTCATCCCGGTGAGCCTTTATAGCTTGCACTTGTCGTTGGGGGCACCAATTCCGTATGGTTTTGGCGGATTGTCCCATAAAGTTTCTCAGTAGTTGTTTTTCACTGTTTACGCTGTATGGTGTCCATAGAAACTCAAACAGTTTATTTTTTCTCGCGTTTTGAGGGCAGAAGTAATCTGTGCGCACTTTAGCTGATATGTCAGACATTACTGCATCCGCCCAACTTCATTCACTCAGTACCTTGGATTTGTCAGTTGATAGTCGATACCTGAATAGAGTGTACATCAGGCAAGCGCCGCTTGAGAATCGTGAATAATTGGCTCCTCCCTACCCCTAATATGCTTTGCCAATATGTTTTACCAACATTATCAATGCGGCATAAGCGACATTTTGTTAGCCTTAGTTTCACTCATTGCGTCTAACACTATGACCCGCTTCTGTTTATCCTGTTCACTGTATGTTCGCTCCTCTGACAGCCCGTCCACCCGGAACCCATCGGTCTTTCTCACAAGCTCATTGATAAGTGGGAGATCCCCAAATCCTCTATTGTACTCAAGGACCAAATCGGCCAGGGCCAGTTCGGTGAGGTGTACAAAGCAGTTTGGAATAAAACGACAATTGTTGCCGTGAAAACTTTGAAACCAAGTAGGTTTTTCGGTCTGTCGAATTCCCCACAGTGCGTGTCGCTGTTTTATCAATGAACTTCAATGTGTCTATTTGCCATTTTCATGAGTGTGATCGAATGCTTTCGTTCTTTTTTCTGGAAGTCCGCATGTCATAATACCTAACTTTTGTTTAGATCGATAAGGTGGATGACAGATGCTATTACAATTTTTCACTGCCCAACCGCCCTCCACTGTGATTAATTTTATCAGCGGATGTCAATCGAGTTTGTAGTAAGAGGTGTTGAGACAGTCCTGACTGTGTGTCAGTGTTAGTGTTAGCTGGTTAGTGTTAGTTGTCTCCAACACGTCAACGAAGTAATGCGGGTTCAATCTAAGCGAAGCTTGGGGAGAACTCCCCCCTTTCACGATGGGCCAGGGACTCGAGAAGAATGCTTTCTCCAGTTACCTCTAAAGAATCCTTTCTATGCAAGTTAAACCAAGCATTCCCTCTTTACCATCCACAAGTTAGCTTTGCTTGTTCTATCTTGCAATCCGAAAATTTGCTCGCAGTCACGCCATCCCCAGTCTGATGATGCCACTGCAATCGGTTTCAGCGGTATAGGGGCGCTGTTGTCTACGGTGCACTCTCGTTATAAGGGCGCCTTCATCCTTTGTCATCCACTAGCTTTTACAAGCGGTTTTTTGCCCCCCTTTAAACCGCAACATACTCGATTGTGGTCATCCGTTACCCAGTGCGTTTGTTTCATTACACAAACCAGAAGGTTCGGGTCGTAACAGCAGCTGCACGTGCTCTCTGTTGAGTAACATCCACCGACCATCCTAGCTGTGACCGGCGCCAACGGCTATCATCGACCTGATTCTCTTAATTCAACTGTTAACCGGATAGACCCATTCACACCTGTTAGTTTGACTATGCCTGTTAGAGCATGAATGGCAACCTTGAACGATCCAATAGTGTGCGCTACACCAAGCTGACATACAAGTCAGAACCAGTCACCGTAAATGTGAAAAAAGATCGTTGATTTGTGTACGATTAGTGGTTGGTGACTTACCAGATAAATGCTAATCGAGTGTTGCACCGAAAGGTCTACACGATCGATTCATGTTAAATCGAGTCTATCCAGCTCGGTGACACAAAACCATTTATAAGACGTTGAATAGACGGAGAGGAGAGAGAGAACGGTATCAGTTATTTGCCTAACTGAAGTCACAAGCGCATGTTGCCTTGCTGGACATGGTGGCCTGCGCATACATGGGTTTGTAACAACAAAGCTCATGTAAACATTATCACTCGCATTTTGTGTTTACGGCTGGACTTGTAAGAAAATCTACAGAGCAGCAACTCGTTGGAATAGATGCAATGGTGGAAAGTGAACAAGAAATTTCAAACTAGTACTTTGTCTCTTGCTGGACTCTGATGAGCATTCCAAGCCGTCGTAGACCACCCAAGTTCAAACCAAGTGACAAAGCTGCAAAACTGATTACAACTTATCTGAGGACCATCACCGCAACACTTTTATAGACATCCTCACACAGACTTCCCGGAAAGAGTTTGCACCATTTCGAAAACTAAATGATGACGATTCCTATTTCGAACTACGTAGTCTCGAACCATTATAGTGGAACAGTCATTTATCTTCCGCCTATATACAGCTAGCAAGATCGAATTGGTCCTCGTCCTACCGCCAATCGCTCGACGTTAGAGCAACGATGGAAGTGACGTAGATACACCTCAAGAACACACCGCTTACCCACAATTCACTTAAACGTTCGCAGAATACGGCTGCCGGACTTCATCCCGTACTCACAAGTTGACTGCACCAATTGCATCTTAATGCACTTTTAGGGTCAAGTCAAAACGCTCTGTATGTCAGTTCAAGCTCAGTTTCATGCACTTTCGCCACGAATGATCAATATCACGCACTGAATGTGAATAGACTTATTTTTCCATAGATCAGTGCAGGTTTGATAGTCTTCAATGGATGTGACTAATTCATGTGCATGGATGAAACCAGAACTTTCTGTCGAGGTAGCTGCTGCACACAAGCAACAAAGAAGGCGAAATCTGTCGATCTGGCTGAGCCCTTATTCGTTCTGACGTTGGCTACTTCTGCCACTTGAATTACCATCCTTTCTTCTTTGAATAGACGTCCACAGGGTATGCGCTGACCTGATTGAACAAACACATTTCCAGCTGTCTCTATGTGTACTGGCAGAATATTCACACACGGCCTTGTGCACAATCTTGACCTGCCTCATAAACCCAAGTTTAATGACTAACAAAATGGCTGTTGTGGTTCGTACCTCATGCTGCATATGACACTAATTTAGAACCGTAAGCGCTTCACGCCTCCAAAGTGTAAGGCTCCGCTACGAGACTGGGTGTGACCAAACCTACACTTCACTTTGCGTGGATAAGTCGCGTCCGTTATAGAACTAGGTCATTCGAATTCCCCTTTCACACCGTTTGAGTTTACAAATATCAGATGTGATCGTATTACATAGACTGACAATCCTGGCGTAAAAAAATTCGTTCAGCTGTAGCACCCTATCGGTGCCTAGCTGCCATCAAGGAAGCAGAAGGTCTGGGTACAGCCAGATTGCTCAAGCCTAGACAGGGGAAGTCGAGTGGCAGAGGTCGGGTTCGAACCACGGACCTTCTACTCAGTAAATTCGCTCTCTAAGCACTTGGTCCATCCCGCCCCCATCCCTGGCGTAAGCATTTATTCGGACAAAACGTAGTCACGGTTGCCCGTGTAGACGAATTATGCCGCTGGTTTTTGCGATCACCTTTCATTTTAAACGAAAACTTTCCTGATGAGAACATAATCGAGCAAAGTATGAGTAATGGTGCCGAATAATTGCTTTGTTCCCTTTCTGAATGAATTCCCGCCTATTCTCTGCTTTCGACCAGGTTCCTGTGACGCAGCTGACTTCTTACGTGAGGCACAAGTGATGAAACAACTGCACCATCCCAATCTGATCCAACTGTATGCCGTGTGCACCCAATCCGAACCGTTTTATTTAGTCACTGAATACATGTCCAAAGGTTCCCTACTATCCTATCTACAATCCTCTGAGGGGCGAACTCTCAGTTTGCAGTGCCTAGTAATAATGGCATCTAAAATCGCTTCTGGAATGGCTTATCTGGAATTCAAACGGTATATACACCGCGACCTGGCAGCGCGAAATGTTCTCGTTGGTGAACAACATGTTGTGAAAATTGCAGACTTTGGTCTTGCGCGAATGATTCATGTGAGTATTTTTATCATGTCGGTTCGTTTGAACCGTTTTCCATTCGTTGCAGCCAGATACTATCTGTCTAACAGCGCGTTCGGTCAGAAGGCTGTTTAGATGCACTTCGAGACTTATTTATGCAAAAAACGACTAAGTACCCTCTCGCAAGCAGGTTCTTATCCTGTATTATGAATTCCACCAATCGCCTTGTGATTTGAAGCGGAGTCTGGAATTCATAGTCCAGTAACGGTATTGTGTAGGCCGTGTATGACGCCTTTTTCGACCGACTTTATCATCTGAGCTATGTGGTCTTGATGCTTCAGATGGCCTGTTTGGTATAGAATTATCTCTTCTAAAGAGGCCGGGAACTCTACTTGGTCGACTGATTTTTAGTGGCGGTGAGCACTTGTGAAGTGCCGTACTGTTGCAGCTAGATATTGTCTTCACTGGATGACGCACACGCACAAGTTCAGCATGTGTAAATTAACACAGATACTCTTTGTGCGTGGATCCGTGACGTTATTTATCGTCAGCTGTTGCTATGCTGGATGACGCAGCCGTCTGACCTGCTTCTTTCACAGTTGAGCAGGAAAAGTGTTCGTATGCGTGTCACTGACATCAGAGCATCACCTTCGCATGTGTTGTTTGCCTAAGCGCAGGGAAACTGGTAGTTTAACTTGGGGTATTACGGGTGGAACAGTCATTGAGATTCTGAGATCACCCAAACGTAAGAGTAATTGCTTTCCTAGATTACGTCCCTGATTTCGGTTTGCGACACCGTAGTCACTAGTTAAATGTGCGTCACCTGGTAGCATTTTAGTGGTTTGCTTGTTTTTCTAATTATCGGATCGATACTACGGCCAACGTGCACCCGGCCTCGTTTTATTGGGATCGTTTTTCCTATCCTCCTCTTTCGGATGTGATTTTACCTTTCTCCTTTTGCCTCAAGCGGCGTGGAAAGGTAATTTGAGGTTTTATTGGTGCATGTTAACACACATTGCTTTTTCCGGCACATTTACTGTGTTGTATTACCCGCTATTAGTCTGCCTCATCACCAGATATCTCATCAGCTCCACACGCCGATTAATGTATTAAAGTTTCCCCCTTCATCCCCTTCACCTTTGCTTGTGTCTCCTCGCCTGACCTTTCATTCAGCTTCTTAGATTATTCTTTTTCCCCTAGTTCTATCCCCAAACTCGAACGAGTACTCTTTTATTTGGCTTTTCATACCCGTTATCTGTATACTGAATCCAAAGTCATGAATAGTAGTTCAACCTTTCCATTGCCGCAAATTCCTCCGTATTTCATAATTCGTTAATTGGCTGATTGTCTCTTCGCGTAGAAATTGCTAGAGATGCTCTCAGGAGGTGCCGGTGATCTAACTCTCTTGATTAAGCCCTAAAGTTTCCGCAAGAATATTTGTTTTTATTCCTCTGTGCTCGATACTTTCGAACATTCGCTGTCTTAATCATTGCGTGTTTTTTCAGGTACAAGAGTACTAAGACAGATCTTATCTATCCCAGTTTGCGTCTTTAAAAATGCACTTCATTTGAATCTAATCGGTAGCGTTACAAATAATTACTTATGGCGTTTTTCAGCTACGCCCTTAGTTTCCATAGACTCGTTACTTCTCGCCACTTCACAGACTTCTTGATTTCGGAACTCCCAGTTTGTTCGCCATCCATCCTCCGAAGTTGAGGCTGCCGTCCCAGAAAGCACCATTGATTAGGTTGTTGGTCTGTGTATAAAATTTGTCGATCGCACGTGGGTGCTGTAATATCTTCTTTGTCCACATCTTAGAAGGCTTCCTCACATGAGCACCCTTCACTGCGGTTAGTTTCCGAGTGTCATGTGATAACGTATAAAAGAATCAGTGTACTGATGGAAATACATGATTGATCACTAAGGAAACAAAGATGGTTTCAGAATGTATAAAGTCTATCTCATGTGCATCACGCACAGATTGGAACTTGTTCACAATCATTATTTCATAAACACGAGTTTGCGAACCTGTAGTCTCTAGTTACTTATTGAAACGTTGCTATTCCCCCGGCAGAGAATCCCCCTAACGGCTATATGAGGGTCTCCCAAATTGGAGCTCCTTTCAAAAGCATTGTATTCCTTTCCCGATGTTTCAAATGAAAGGGTCCTCATAGGTCTGTGCTTCGGGGGATTTTGACAAATACACATATGGCTTTTGAACTCAAAATGTTCCCACCAAGAGAAACCCTTTCGGACCTAGGTTCCCGCACTGGTCTTCATTATCCCAAGCTGCATGAAAAATGGAATATATCTAACTTTCACTACCCTAAATGTTTTCTGCACTCTGTTTGTTACTTGAAATCACTCTCAAGAGTCCTTCTTGGATTTCCACTCGCCGTTTTTATTCGGATAGACGGGGCAAATGTTTATAAGTTTCAAGACCTCTCTCGGTATACAACGGAACCCACGGTATTCAGTGTTCGAAGGTAATGTCGTCCCCTGGCGGCCGTTAGTCACGTGACTATTGGTGTGCTCGCCGAGCTTCGAAATTAGCTTGTAAACTTTACGTCGCCAACCGAGGGATGTCGGTCCGTGCCCGTTTATCCTTTTTTGTACGAAGGCAGTGGTCTTCCACCCTTGGATTATCAAGTTGGGTGATCACTCCCTTTTCTACATCACCCCACTAATTTAGCCTTCATGGAACTGAAGCAGACCCTTTCTTCATTCGCATCGTTTGTCACCCTGCATATCGCATGCACTCTATTGCCCTTCGTTTTCTCCAATCCTCCGTCTATATATCTCGTGTCCTGCTGTTGGGGTAGTAATGTGTTTACTTTCTCACGTAGAAATTACAGTGTGATGAAAATGCTACGTAACTGACAGGTTAACTTCACAGTGTCGTCTGTCTTTCTGTTACCGTATGGCTGCTGAAGACTTTGTTTGGTTAGCTAAGTACACTCATTTGTATACCAATTTAGTTTTGACAGGAGACTCACCCGGAACCCAGTTGAATCTCTCATCTATGATTTTTAAACAATAATTTTCAATAAAACATCGTAAACGAGGAATTCAGTTGGGTTCCAGGTGAGTCTTCGTCAAAACCGAATTGGTATGCAATTGAGTGTATTTCGCTAAATTCATGCTATTTGGGTTCAAGGAGAACATAATGTGGACAGAAACTCGGGGGCTGCGTCCACCTGATGAGCCCCGCGAAGGACGAAACCGGTCGTGGGCAGTCGCAAGGTTTTCAGAAACCTTACGAAGAGTGTAATCCGTCTGTTGTTTTAATTTGCCCTTTCCCAAAATGGATTGGGGTTTACGAGGATGGGAGATCGCTAATAGTGAAGATTCGGCCAACGGGTAGTAGAAATGCTAAGGTTTAAACGACTCTGGTTAGGTTGTCCGTCTGAATTTCTCTTAGATGGTTCACATCAATTTTTTGCAACAAATATCAGTGTTTTGTGAACAGACACAGAGGGTTCATTTCACATCACTCACAAAGCTTTCGAATGAACTAGCCCTGCTGACCACTGACATACAGAGAACATGCCCCTTTTTGTTTGTCGGCGGCAGTGGTTTATCGGGACAAATGTGTCACGACGCTGCTACGCAGCCACTAACGGTGCCAACTGCTAGCCGAATGGTTGGTAAGATCCACTGTGCCAGTGTTGTCTCTGTGTCCGTGACTGTGACTTCTGAGACGATACCTAGCCGACTGTCTCACGAACACGATTCGTGTCATTAAAATAGCCGACCTCCGTACAATGACTGCCTAACCCAGGTCCTCCGTCAACTTCCAAGATGTCAGCAATTAGCTTGTACCCAAATAATTTACCACAGGAGGGTCAATACCCCTTTGGACATTTCTTCTCTGTAACCTGTCGTTTCGCAGTCAATCAAGTGGCTGTCCGTTGGCTCACATTTCAAACCAGTTGCACAGTTACAGAACGAACCGGAGCATCTGTCCATGTTAAACTACAGCCAAAGACGTAGGTTGAGTTTACTTTATGTGAGTGAACCACCACAGGAAGTGTGTAAAGACCGAACAGGCACACATATGTGGTCGCGTGACCGTGACAAAGGCGATGGAAACAATAAAAACCGATCAATGGTGAATAAATGTGAGCCAATCGAGAACTGACCATTATCGACCGAAATGACACGTGTCTAAGCATGCGGGGTCTGGATATTGTGTCCTACTGCTGTTTTTACTCAGCTGGTTTATAAATGAAATGGAATCACCGTTAACTTGATTTTCGAATCCAACCGAACTCAATGAGTGTTTGCAGTTCGGTTGATCCCGCTCTGGTTACCGCACCACAACTGATAGCTTCTTTTGCTTGTGCTAAGCATTTTTGTGTCTTCAAAGATCACGACTTCCTGAGTCATCGGTCCGCATGCCTAAGGAAGAAACTTGAATCGTCTAAACCTAACACACTACTAATAAGGTTTCCAAAAACTCTTCGACAGCCCACGACCGTTTTCGTCCTTGTTGAGACTCATCAGGCAGGCGCAGTCCTCGAGTTTCCGTTTTACTTGAACTCAACTTGTACGGAATTCGCGAACTACACTTACTGCACACTAAAGCGAGACAGAACTGAAACCCTCATTAATGATGTTTTCATACAACTGAATGTGCTGTGCGGGCCCACTTAATGTTTCATTTGGTTTGATATTCGATGTACCGCCGTCTATGTGTAGCACGCTACCGTAACATCTCGAATATTGTACCAACTGAAACATTAAGTTGAAGAATATCAAGAACGAGAGGTTCAGCTCAGTTCGTTTGAGTCTCGCGTTGAAACCAAATTGATGTGCAAAGGGGGGTATTTGGCGGAAGTCGAATCTTTTTCATCAGCAGCCAGTTCATCTGCATTTGCACTGCACTCTTCTGCTAAAAAGAAACATGTCCCTGATATGAATTTTCGCAGTGTTTAAGCACGGTTTTTGACGCGAAGGTGGTGACTACGCACAACAGCTGAATTTGGCAGCCTCGAGGAACATGCGAACCACATCCGTTCATCACGCTTCACAAT